ACCTTTCCTAGTGGAAGAAAGAATGAGTAACAATCAGAATTCCACAGTTCAAGGTAATCCAATAACTAAACCATTTCTAGGAAATGTTACTTCGATAAGGCTGCATCCAGCCACATGCAATGATTCCAGTATTTACACAGCTATTTACTCTTTATGAAGTACTTTCACATTCATATTACTCTCAGCACAGTAACATAAAAGGGTATTTAAGTGAAAATAGAAACTCTGGGAAGAAAGGAGCATGATTCAAAGAGGGAAATTCCAGTTGTCATAAAAGGCCTAAGGGGGTATAAAATGCCCTATAAAGGCTGAGCATGGACTTTTCATGTTCAAGATTTCTACATCTTTGAAGAAAACTTGACAAAGCTGAAGCAACAGTGGCAATAAACATGAATGTGACGGGCATCACTATAATCTTGGCCATGATACTCTGTGCTACAACCATTCAAGGTAACATTTATATACTTCTCTCAACTTTTTTTGGCTTCAAATGTCTTCCACTTTTATTGTAAAAGATTGAGTTTTTTAATACCGAATGGCTTCACTCATAGCAGGAGTGTAATGAACCAGGCGAGAAAATAATAATAATAATAATGAACAGTTATATACCAGAGACAATTTATGAGGGTGGCGTGGGGAATGGAATCAAAAACAGTGGGGAGAGGGAAGTGCACTGGACTTTGGTGATGGCACATGGGTGATTTGGTGATGGGAAGCCCAAGGGGATTACAACTGAGAAGGAAAAAATGCACAAAATGATGTAAAAATAAACTATTATTAAAAAAAAGAGATTGAGTTTTTTAATTTTACCTTATACGTTAGAAGTTACTACAGCTGTGGTAGAGAATGTTGGAAATGTTTAAGGCACTAGAGGTGATTATTAACACTAGAGATGATAAACCATGACATTTTATATTAGGCTACAAAATCTAACAAGAGCCTCTAACAATAGTTCTAAATGTCTACTAAAGAGATTTAACATGAAATAATAGCTTCCTGGAAAAATACTTCAGCATAAAAGTATACTTAACTTTCAATAAGCTTTGATGATTCCCTTTTTTTTTTTTAAGATTTATTTATTTGTGCATACAAAACTGGGATACAGGTCAGAGGCTCAGGGGCGGTGAGAGGTTTCACCAGAGACAGAGTGGGGAGCAGAACAGGCAGATCGACAAAGCACACTGCTGAGGGGAGCAGCGGGCGGGTCAGGAGAGGTCTGCCACACCATGTGATCTCCTCCGGGACAGGTGGGAATCGAACTCATGTGGAAGTAGCTTTAGATTCTCAGTGCTGTGCTTAAACCCGCTGTGCCACCAGGGAGGGCCTGATTCCCTTTATTCTTAAATAGTTTATTACAAATTTAAAGAGAAATATAAACGTCAGCATCTTTCCTAAGTTCTTTTCTAAGCAACAGCAATGTGAAGTGTTAATTGACAAATTACTCTTTTTCTTTAATGAAATTACATTCTTCATCAAGAAGATAATCACAGCTATCTGCTGCATGTAGAGGCTTCATTAACCAATGCTGTGATCTATTCCAGGCTTTCCCATGTTCATAAGAGGACGCTGTCTTTGCACTGGACCTGGAGTTAGAGCAGTGAAAGTGGCAGATATTGAGAAAGCCGCCGTACTTTACCCAACCAACATCTGTGATAAAACAGAAGTGATGTAAGTAATGCACTCTAAAAATGAAAACAGTGGAGGCTATTTGCTTATGCTTTTCCATCCAAAATTGAAGACTTTTGGATCTTCCCTTCACAGCATCACCTTGAAATTACATAAAGGTAAAAGATGCCTAAATCCAACATCAAAACAAGGAAAAGCTATCATCCAGGTAGGTTATTAGATTTATTTCCATTTTATAAAATCTTTTTTATCCAAGATAGATCCTTTAAAAAAAAAAACTAACAACTGCAGGTTCTATGTGAAGTATTTTAATAAAGGGTCTTTGTTATAATTATCTTCTGTCTGCTTTTATTTTTTGTATATAAACTTTATCACTGGGAAATACCAATGGTCTAAATTTATAAAACTCTTAATTATTTTCTCATTACAGAGAGCTCAAAGAGTCAAACTTTCAAAATATCAAAATGTATGAAGTCCTGGAAATGAGAATTTGAAAGCCTAGAACAACTTTAACTATGAATGCCAAAATGCTAGGATTTCAGCTATAATCTGACTTTCTCCTGCCTGGCGCAATGCACATTTATTCATTTGTACCTCTGTGAACCTTCCAGAGATTTGATGCTTATAACTATACTCTGTTGTGCTAATGAGAACATTTCTGTCTCTAGGAACTATCTTCTGTACTTCCTCTACATTCCATATTATAATCTACAGTTACAATGGAAACTTCATTACTAGTGTTAAGACTTTAGGAGTGAAAAGCATCCATTTATGTCATGAAACATTCCCCAAAGAATTTTTCATGCCCAAAACATACTTCTTTTCTCAAAAGTCATATAGTGCATGTTATCTAGGAAAGACATTATACGTCATCTGTAATTCATAAAATGTACTAAGAAAAAACATAAGCTAAGAGAAATGAAACAGGTAAAAATGTGACTACTTTATGACTGAATTAGTAATTCTGCTATATATTTGATTTTTTTTAAAACAACTTGGTCTGTTTTTCCATTGAGATGTTTTGAAGCATTAAGACGATAAATTATGACTGTATGTTAGAAACATTTTACGTTAAAATGTGTTTTGTTAACCAAAGGAACCTACTGAAAAATAAATATATATGTATATCTGGTGATCATCTTTACTTTCTGTGATTCTTTTTCATAGAAAATAAGATAGTCTATTCCATTTTTCAATCCCGCCTATAATATCTAAACTACCATCACCTGTCTTAAAACAGAAAGAAGCATATATTTTCCAGAAATTTGTGGTATCTTTGCTAAACTCATCTTGTATTTCAAGAAGTAGCTTATGGCTACCTATCCTCATACAGAATTATCTAGAAATAGATTTTGGTGGCTAGTTGTGAAGGAAAATTGTCTCTATTTTCACCAAGGTTTTCCTAGCTATAAATCTCCCTCATACTTAAGGAAATCCTTTACATTCATCTTGGTAATAGGCCAAAAAGAAACAGCTAATCAAAACAAGATCTAAGCCCAGCCACTCCTGAGCTCGACTTTGAACTTCAGCTAATACCTGGAAGATCCCATTAGAAAGAAAATTATTTAAAGAGGCAGTAGTAGCAGCCATGTAAGTCTCAGGTGGTGATTTCCCCATGAGTCCCTAGTTCTTCAGTCTTCCTGTGGTTTCATCAACTATCAATTAAAAATCCTTTCTGCTGGCCCTCCCTGGTGGTGCAGGGGGAGCCACTGCAGTGTGAGTTTGATCCTCAGTCCTGGAGGTGACACACAGGGCGCAGCAGACCTCTCCTGTCTTGCCTGCTGCTCCCCTCTGGAGTGTACTTCATAGATCTATCTGCCTGTTCTGCTCCCCAGTCTGTCTCTGGTGAAGCCTCTCACCATCCCTGCACCTCTGGCCTGTACCCCAGTGCTGTATGCATATGAAAAATAAATCTTAAAAAAAAAAAAAAAAACTTTAGAAAATCTAGTGGGGTAAAGCTTATTTATTAAAGAAAAAAAATTCTTTCAGCTGAAGTTGACCAGAGTTGGCTTCTCAGCATACAAGCCAAAACCTAAACTGATAAACACTCTGTGTAGCTATCTATACAATGAAAATAAAGAAATACCAATGAAACAATCAGGTGTTTCTATTTCTTTGCAAACAAAGGAACAATTTTAATGTATCTTTTGTATATTTTCCCCATTGATTTTAAAAAAACTCAAAACAATCTTTCAAAGAAACAGGTGTACAAAATGTTCATAACACCAATTTTCACAATACCTAAATAGCTAACAAAAGATGAAGAATGAAAATGTGATGTATGTACATAATGGAATACTATTCAGTCACACAAAAAAAACAAAAAACAAAAAAAAAAAAACAACAGTGAAATACCAATACAAGCTGCAGGGCAGGGTGGATGAGCTCTGAAAACACTATGCTAAATAAAAGAGGCCAGACACAAAGGCAAGCATACACAATCATTTATATGAAAGGTTGATAATAAGCAAATTCATAGGGGAAAAAAGCACGTTAGTGGTTGTCAGGGGCTGGGAGAAAGGAGAGAATGATGAGTGACTGTTTAATAATTACTGAGTTTCTGTTTGGGGTGATGAAAAAGTCCTGGAACTAGTTAACAGGAACAACCATTCGACTTTGTAAGTGTACTTCACACCCCTGAATTCTATGCTTTTAAGTGGTTAATTTGGTAACCTGTATGTCATGTGTATTTTACCACAATATAAAAATGTCTAGACTAAGGGTGGGATTGTGAAAATAGGAATATCATGAGATTACACTGCAAAAAGAGAATGTAACTTAGTGACAGATTAGATGAGACAGATGAGGTTGAAGAAAGGAATCAGGAAAATGTTAAAAATTTGGATTTAATGGAGACAGAGAGAGGAACCAAGAAAAGGTGAGGTTTTGAGGATTTATAGGAACTATCACTAACAGGAATAGGGAAGCTGGGGGAAGATGTTTAACAGAGTAGACTGCGGTGAATTTAAGCATATGCTGAACCAGAGGTGCTAAATATTTTGAAATCCAGAATTATTTCCTTTAAATAAACTAGAGGAGCTTTCAAATGGATGGGGTGATTTTACATAATACTGTTTAAGAAGGAAAGGGTCTTTTTTGGGGGGAGGAGGTTGTTCTTAATATGCCCATGTAGGGGGCTGTTCTTAATATGACATGTTTCTTAAAGGTTTCCAGAACCAACCAATATATATCTTTGTGATATAATCAACACATTCTGAGGGTTCTAAATAGTATACTCTCATACATACAACTGTTTGGGCTATTTTGGAAAAGGGGAAGTGGGTTCTGTGGCTACAAGAAAATGTTAACAACTAATCCTTAACTCATATTCAATGTTTAACTGCCAGACACTTATAATGAAACTGAATAAATCTGAAATCATTATGCATATTGTAAGTATAGTTTCACTGAAGTACCAACTGCATTTCCTGGAAATCTTAATCCCTTAAATGTAGGTAGCTGTTTGGGGCTGCTCAATGAACCCCATAAGTATAGAGGTAGTTTGGGGCTGCTTAATGAACTGTAACATATTGTAAATGCCCTAAGGTGAATTACAGACATCATACAATTTCCTATAAATCACGATTTTGCATTTATCTTTAAATTGTTCACAAAGAAGACATTAGTCATTAAGACATAGTCATTAAGAGCTTGAGAAAAACTAAATGTTGAGCTAAAATATGGAATAACATGCACTACGGAACTACATCACATTGAACTATGTAAGATTCCTCCTCCTAAAACAGACAATAATAAATCCATTAAAGTTAAGTTTTATAAATCAATGGCAAATCAAAATTTTATTAAAAGATAAAATTAGACTTTCTAAAGTTTCTGATTAAAATTAGAACAAATGTAAATTAAATTCATGTTTATTGTATGTAAATTTGATTAAAGGGGAAGGAGAAATGCACCATTCTTACCAAAATCCACTTACACTGTTAAAATGCTCTCATATGTTCTCTTTTCCCCTAAATAATCTGCTATATATGTACAAGTCCTCCCAAAATGTATGAGTTTTAGAAACATAGCACTCTATTTTGCAGTGTGTTCATCTCCATTATCTTCAGCAATCCCAAAAAGAGATCAGGGCTGTCCCTACCTCCTTCCTACCTCTACAGTGACCTTGAGCCTCTCCTTCTACAAACTCATATGCCTATTACCTATCTGCCTGATTTTACCACATCCTGTAGCATCATAAGATTCTGAAAATAAAATAATCAAAATTGCATTTAATATGCATTTAATTTAATACTACAAGAATACACTTATATTTATCTATATTTATAGATGCACACACATGTAAACACATATGTTCCTTTCATCCCATATAAAACAATAAAGGACTAGGAACCTTTTACCATTTTTGTTGAGCATCTATCCTAAGGAAATTACCTAAATATACAATCCCTATCTTATTAAGTTGCTTTCATTCACCCCTTTCTCTCTCATTTCTATGGTAACAACTTTAGTTTTTTCCCTTGAGGCATCACACATATAAACAGCTTAGAATTTATTACTCTTCTCTTACTATCCCACTATAATACATTCTTCTAATCTGTTTACAATGTCCACTTGGACATTCAAAACTTCCTTTCAGCAGTCATGTGATCCCTTCCACGTCTCTGAGATTCCATGGCTGGTTATCAGCCAATTGTGATCTTCTAATGCTTGCTCCTTTCAGGACTGCGATTATGTCATAACTATGCCTGTAGCATCCATGGACAGTGGCACATTGGTAGGTACTCAATACCTGAGAGTACACTAAGACTCTAGATGCTTATAACACCAGAAATCAAAGGGCTTCCCCATGAAGTCATCTTCAAGTTGTGCAGTAAGTGACCTTCATGTTTGTATATGGTTGGCATGTATTACACTGACTGATATTCTTGGACACTAATAGGTAGATTAAATACTTGTGTTTTTCTAATTTATATTAGTCTTGTGAATCATTTATATTTTCATTAGCTCATTTTGTCACTTCTGGGTTTTTTTTTTAATTGGCATTACGGTGCTAATAATCATTGAGTAGGATAATCTGTTTTGTATTTTTATCTATTCAATCTAATTAACTATTACCTTTCTACCTCCTCTCACTCCTTCAAACCTCTGGATTAACAAACACCTCAATAGCTGGGTAAGTCAAAATATTGCTATATATTAACAGACTGTCTTGGATACTTCCCAATATCTAAGACACAATAATTTAAAAATATAATGATGTGTTCCTTCCCTATCCCACTCCCTTGCCTCCTCCACTCCAAACATAATCATTACCCTAAATTCTGTGTTTATTATTTCCTTGCCTTTTTGTGCAGTGTGGTAAAATACACAAAACACTTTTTTTTTTTTGAATTACAGTAACACTGGTTTAGAAGAGGTTCATGCCTCTTCCGATGTATATCACTACACCACATCCACTAAAAAGAGCGCACAGTCCTCTACCCTAGACCATACTCTTGTGTGCTCTCTCCCCAGTAACCTGCTTCTACAGTCATATGTCCAGTGTTT